AGGGCCTCGTTTGTCTGAGGGTAGTTCCATGGTCCCAGAATATGGCCCCTAATTGGGGAAACCTTATGAATAAGGTAATATTCTCATGGGTTTCCCTACGACCCTGTCTAACCCCCCCCCCCCTATGTTCCCCCATTTAAAAACCTTACTTCTCCCTAAATAGACTTGGGTCCCATTTCCTCCAAGTACCAGTTGCTATCGAGGCCCTGGGGCTTCGATGCCCCCCTTCTGGGGTTCGGCCGAAGCCTGCTAGGGTTTAGGTTTCGGGTTAGGGTCTAGGGTTATCCGAAGGCATCGCCGGGTGCTTCCATGCATCATAAGGTTGAGAAGACGAACTCAGCACATGTTCAGGCTTCAGCAGCCCCAACAAACCATCAACAAACCCCAAAGCCTAAAACCCAAAAAGCCCTGAATTTTGAACGCCAAGAGCTCTTGAGAGTTCCGAAGTCTTGCAGGTTCTTTCGTGTGTGGTCCCCCAATAGGCTTCCTGTGCATACAAGCGCAGCCAAGTGTCAGTTCGGTCAGCAACTCCATCTCCCTGAGGGCGGGGAGGTAGGTGTTTTCGATGATCAGCACCTGATCGGAAACAAATCGAGAACCTGAACCCTAGACCCTAAACGAAAGCCTAAACTAAAGCCAAAAACGAAAGCCCAAACTCAAGCCTAAATCCTGAAGGCTGAGCTCTGAGCTCTAAACCCTCAAAAACCCTGATGTAGCCTGAACCCGCAGTTGGAAGGCGGGTCAGGTGAACCGAGGTATCCCTAAACCCTAAATCCTAAACCCTAAACCCTAGACTCTAGACCTCCAGGCAGCATTGCCTCGAGCAGTCCTTCGGAGGATAAACCGCTTAGGCAGCGCAGGTGACGGAAACCGCTCTTGTCACCTGAAAAACCCAAGAGTAACCTGGGAGTTACCTTTTGAAAAACCCAAGAGTAACCTGGGAGTAGAAAGGGTGTCCATGTTTTTGGTTTAAAGGGGCTTACAAGGCTATAAGGAAACCCACTGAGTTGTCTAAGGAAAAAGGACTTCTCCGTTGGGTTACAAGGCTATAAGGAAACCCACTGAGTTGTCTAAGGAAAAAGGACTTCTCCGTTGGGTTTTGAGCGGCTTCTGGTACCCGAGGAAGGCTCAAGATCATCCACCTCACACATACGAACCCCAAAACCCGAAACCCGAAACCCTAAACCCTAAACCCCAAAACCCTGAAACGTACAACGCACAAAAAGAGACGCCTTAGGTTGGATTGAGCTTGGTTTAGGGCGCGCCCGAACTGACCCCAAGGATCCATGTAGCTATATAGTATCCCTAAACCGTAAACCCTAAACCCTAAACCCTGTATAACCCTAAACCCTAAACCCTGATCCCTATAAACCCTGGAGCTGCTATACAGGAACCCCTTCGCGGCTCAAGCATATACTATACAGGCACATGGATCCGGGTAATTGAGGCAAGCGCGTGGGCGGCTGCATCGTCGGCGGCATCGCCTGGCAAATTCTGGATTTGGGGCTTAGGGTTTGGGGTTTGGGGTTTAGGGTTTCGGATTTCGGGTTGGGGTTTAGGCAAAAGCGGCGTTGCTTCAAAAGAGCTGCTGCGCTTGGTATACCTTTCAATTTCAATCAGCATCGAGACTAATTATCTATAACCTGGGTTCTACAGGTGAGCAATAAGGGACATGTACCAGAACAGCGGCGCCAAGGCGACCCCTAACTTAGAACCCTTTTCAGTATGGTTTAGGGTTTAGGATTTGGGGTTTTGGGTTTAGGGTTTGGGGCAAAGAGTGTCCTCCACCGCCCGATGCACGCTGCAATGCCGTGAGCATGTCCTGCCCGAATGTTCCGCACTAGCAGTCAAGGATGTTTTCTTCGTTTTCTGCATACAGAGACAAGAAGCTTCTGCTTATGTTTTAAGATACGTTGTATCTATGCAAATATGCTAAGCTTTTAGAGGTTAGGGCTTAGGGCCTAAACCCAAACCCCCTCCCGAAAACCCAAACCTCAAATACTTAGTTCCACCTCGAGCTTGCCAGCCCCTCAACTCTACATCCTAAACCTTACCTGGGACTCTATTCACTCTAGGGGTTCTCGGGTTGAGGGTTTAGGGTTCATCCCTTGATTCACCTATAGCTTAGGAGGAAACAACCCTCCCTTAATTAATAATTAACGGTGTAACTTAGTAACCCATTAAGCCGTAGGTAAGCAGAAGCCCAGGCACACCCGAAACCCTAGACACGACAAGCTGCGAAGGGTTCAGGGTCTAGCATTTACAGGCTTGTCTGATGCGTACACTGCAAAGGCACCCCACGACCCCGGAAGACGCCCCAGCTTTCGCAATGGCCGGTTGCATGGGAGAAGCAGGGCTTTGCGGTTTAGGGTTTAGGGTTGTTTAGGGGTATAGGCTTTAGGGTTGGAGAGTTTGTAGGGACATGGAGATATAGTGTGGTTTAGGGCCGATAAAGTTCAGAGTACGGCTTAGGGCTTAGATGGTGCGACGTGGGCCTCTCCTACAACCAATCGCATGGCACGATGCCCGGAATCCTCTGGAATGCCCTCGCAACTCGTGTTCTCTCTCTCTCGCTCGCTCTCGCATCACCCACGAAGGTTGGTGTCACCTCGGACCCAAAGGTAATGTCGTCCGCGCTGATGGGCTTCCCGTTGATGGTGATATGGTCATCCTCCGCGATCTGAAAGGGAGAATTCATGTTGTTGCAGATGTGCTTGTATTCATCGAATCCGAGCTCTTCAGCCTCCGAGCAGAGGAAGTCAATGTAGCATCCCGGCATAGGTGTTTAAGCGATTTTGAGCCTAAGGGTCAGCATTAGCACTGAAACCCTAAACCTAAACCCTGAACCTAAACATCCCCTAAGGCCTAAACAAAAAGGACTTAATTTAAAACCTTAAGCCCTAAACCCCACGCCCTAAACCCTAACCCTTAACCCTAAACCCTAAACCCTAAACCCTAAACCCTAAACCCTAAACCCTAAACCCTAAACCCTAACCCTAAGCCCTAAACCCTAACCCCTAAACCCTGTCCTTCTGGAAGTCGGTCGAGCCCATGGTGAGCTGGTGAGAGCCTTCCCGCAGGGCAGAAACTTGCAGGTTCATGGGCACTTGCAAGTTTAGGGGTTTAGGGTTTAGGGCTTAGGGTTTAGGGTTTAGGGTTTAGGGTTTAGGGTTTGGGGTTTAGGGTTTAGGGTTTCAGGGACTGAGGGTTCAGGGTTAGCATACCGCCAGGAACCCTAAAACCCAAAACCCAAAACCCTAAATTCAACCCCTAACCCTTAAAACCCTAACTCCTACGCCGCGCCTGGGAAGAACTTGGTCAGGAAGGGGACGGCCAAGCCATCCGGGTCATAGAAGATTGGCCACGAGGTGGTCTGACCATGAAGGGTTTATTGGGGTTTTCTGGGGTTTCTGGGTTTCTGGGGTTTAGGGTTTAGGGTTTAGGGTTTAGGGCCACGGGGTGGTCTGACCATCAGAATTTTATAAGGGGGACATGGGGTTTAGAGGGTTTAGGGTTTAGGGAGAAGACTGGCCACGAGGTGGTCTGACCATCAAAGTTTCTTCCTTTGTTTATTACTATTTAAATATTTGGTTGGGGGGGAGTTCTGGGGTTTAGCGTTTGGGGGGTGTTGTATGGTCCGACCATCATTTTTTTTTTTTGGGGGGGGGGGCGAGCCCGGGCGAATACGCAAAGCGGCTGTGGTGGGATCAATAACCGCAGTGTATGCTTCACCTTCCGCGTCCTCAAAAGAGGTGACATCGCGAAGGTCCTCAGCAATCGGCACACCATCTTCGACTTGTTCGAGTTTCAACGCAACCAAAGCCTTGCTGGGAGCTTCCTTGTCCCGTAGTTTGCCCACGGTGTTTTCCAAGGAGGCACGCATGGCACCATACTCAGAATTCTGGATCAGGCGATTCTGCGTGCCAAGCTTGGCCTCCTGTTTGTTCTTCTCTTGATAAGTGAGGTGCGTGCGGGCTGCCTCCCACACGCAAAGGAGGAGGGCCACTTCCTTGCGCATCGAAGGGCTGCTGTCTGCATCGAAACCGAAAGTCGATTTCAAAGCCGCTCGCACTGACCCTCTTGTTTCCTCGAGACCAGCAAAAACCCGCAGCGAGGTGAAGCCAGACTCGATGATCTTCTTCTGTACGCTGACATCAACGCCAACCTCCTCAAGCTGGAAGCGGAAGTCCGAATCGGCTTTTCCGAGGACGTCATCCATGGCGTCAGGCATGGCGCAAAGCACGCAGTATACAAGAACTTGCAAGATTAGGAAGCACTCGTTCAAGAGCAAAAACCCGCAGCGAGGTGAAGCCAGACTCGATGATCTTCTTCTGTACGCTGACATCAACGCCAACCTCCTCAAGCTGGAAGCGGAAGTCCGAATCGGCTTTTCCGAGGACGTCATCCATGGCGTCAGGCATGGCGCAAAGCACGCAGTATACAAGAACTTGCAAGATTAGGAAGCACTCGTTCAAGAGCCAAAGCAAAAGAAACAAAACGCACCCGAGAACAACACAGAACCCGCCCTATATAGCACCCGGCGACTCCGCTCGCTCTGCACATTGCGTTGACACGCACGCACGCATCCAGCCAGTCGCGCACAAACGAAGTACAAGTACAACACATGCAGTCTGCTGGCTGTTAGCGTCCAGCGCAGTACGTAAATTAAGAAGCGGTGAGAGAAAGCGTCGCTGTCAAGCCGTCAAGGCTAACAAGGTTTACTCGCTGCTCGGAGCGATCAAATGTTAGCCATCAGAGTTTTCCTCAGTCGAGCTACTACTGCTGGAGCTTGATAACGAATCACCAGAATCGTCGTCGGCATCTTCGGCCTCGAGAGGTGGGACCTCTCCAGCTGCCCAGCAATGTTTGCAAGCTAAGTCATAAGAGAGACCTTGCAGCGACCAAGCCGTGCAGATTCTTCTTGCTGGTGTTGAGTGGTTGCTCCGGTTGCTCGGGTGGTTTCTGCGGGGGGGGGGGGGGGGGGGGGGGGTGGACAGGTTGATTGATTTAGATATTTTTGAATGTTTATTGATTTAGAGGTTTGGGTTTGAAAAACTCATAAATATCAGAAGGGGGGTTTAGGGCACACAGGTTTTTGATTTAGATTTTTGCACTATTTGTTGATTTAGATTTTGTTTCCAGAAAATCGTGTTCGTAATTAAATACTTAAAAACGGAACATACCATGGTTTAACAATAACTAAGCCTGGTACCGAGGTTGCGAAAAATGTCATGGTAGACAAGTAAAGCTGCAGTGCCTGCCGATGATATTTCTGCTTGCATGCATGTGTGCTCCAGCAGTATCCGCAGGCATTCTTGTTCCAGCAGCATCGTTTGTTTTTGGTTGCAGAGCTTGGTATGGTCTCATGCGACGGGCCCAGCAGCTTAGGCTGCAGGGCTCCAGTGCATTGATTTGAAACGCCCGGGCCCCAGCAGGTCCCTAACCCAAAACCCTAAACCCTAAACCCGAAACCCTAAACCTAAATTTTAGGGGCTTCGCCCTGATGCGCCGGCGCAGAATTTTTGGTTAAACGAAAGATGCCGTGGTTGCTTCTCTGAGGACATGAAGACTAAAGTAATTGAACAGGTTCCAATATATATATATATATATATATATTTTTTTTTATTGTTTTTAAGAAGTCTCCGCTTGGTCTAAAACTCTTCGGTCCAGATTTTCAATTGACTTAAACCTCTTGGCGAGAAACCTCCGAAGGTACTAGCGAAAATTCTTGTTTCAACTAAAGTTCGTCAAAAGTCGTCGGTTTACTCAAACTCGTTGTTCCATGTATTCAATTTATTTAGACATCCTTGCCGAAAAGCCTCAAAAAGCACTAGCGTGAACACCTATGTTTTGGCGGAAGGGTTTCGAAGGGTTTTGACGGGTTTCGAAGCGTTTAGAAGGGCTTTCGAAAGTTTTGCAAGTGTTCTTCAGGGTTTACCAGGGTTGCGTAGGTTTGGAAGGGTTCAGAAGGGCTTGGAAGGATTTCGAAGACAACAGAGTTTTGGAAGGGATTATAAGGGCTTAAAAAGGGTTTAGAAGGGTTTAGAAGAATTTAGAAGTTTTGAGAAGGGCTGCGAAGGGTTTCGAAGGTTTAGAAGGTTTAGCAGAGTTTTTTAAGAGGTGTTTTGAAGGGTTTAGAAGGGTTTTCGTTTGGATTTTTCAAGGGTTTTAAAACGATTTAGAAGGGAGTTTCGAAGGTTTAGAAGGGCTTAGAAGGGTTTAGAAGAGTTCAGAAGGTGAAAATCATGTTTTGAAAGAATTAGAAGGGTTTCTAGGTTTTAGAAATGGCGTCTTTAATGGCTTACCAGGGTGTAGAAGGGTTCCAGAAAGATTTCAAAGAGTTCAGCAGGGTTTAGAAGCGTTGTTACGGGCATATAAGGGCTATTATAAGGGTTTAGGAGGGCTTCGACGGGCCTTAGAGTGTTTTGAAGGGTTTCGAACAGTTTAGAAGGGTTTACAACAGGCCACACAACCCTCCAGAAGCAAACAGTTAAGCAACCCAGATCTCCGCACCCTTAAGCTTCAACCCCCCCCACCCCCGGACCCCAGAAACCGAAGCAACCAGTTAAGCAACCCGTTAAGCAACCCAGATCTCTGCACCCTTAAACTTCAACCCCCAGCCCTCCAGAAGCAAACAGTTACAGTAAGCAACCCAGATCTCCGCACCCTTAAGCTTCAACCCCCCCCCGGACCCCAGAAGCCGAAGCAACCAGTTAAGCAACCCGTTAAGCAACCCAGATCTCTGCACCCTTAAACTTCAACCCCCCCCCCCACCCAGCCCTCCAGAAGCAAACAGTTAAGCAACCCAGACCTCGGCGCCCTTAAACTTCAACCCCCCCCCCCCCCCGCAGCCCTCCAGAAGCAGAAGCAAACAGTTAAGCAACGCAGATCTCTGCACCCTTAGACTTCAACCATCCCCCCCGCCAGCCCTCCAAAAACAAACAGTCAAGCAACCCAGAGCTCTGCGCCCTTAAACTTCTGGATCCTGGGAAAGCCGCTCCGAAAAGAAAGACCTCCGAAACAGAATTGTTTCAAACAAGCGTTCTATCAACAAATCTGTTTAAAATCAGCCGTTTCAATTGCGTTCCGAAAACAAAAGCCTCCAGCAACCCCAGCAAGTTTAAATCGGGTTTAGAAAATATGGGGCTGGGGTGGGCCAGCAGAATCAAATCGGGTTTTAAAAACATCTTTGAGGGATGGGCTGCTTCCTGGGGGGAGGGGGGGTCTTACCTGGTGAATTGACTAGGGCGCCAGCTGCGCTGGCGAACCCTAAACCTAAACCCTCAACCCTAATCCCTATGCGCCTAAACCCTAAACCCTAAACCCTACACCCTAAACCCTAAACCCTGAACCCCCACTAGCAGGTACCACTAAGGACCGCGTGCGAGCCCAGCAGCCTAGGCTGCCGCTCGAAAACAAGGCTGTGGGGCCTGAGCCCTAAATCCTACTCATACTTTCTTATGTATTTGAAATAACAAGTCATGATTACCATGCGATACCACTCAAATCACCACCCGCCCCCCAACCCCTGCCCGACCCCTCACGATTACTTGTAAACCTCCAAGCCCTTCGTCGAAGGCCTGGCCGCAATGCGACACGCAACCATCGCAACCGCTGTACCACCCACTCCCCCCTCCAGACCCTCCATGGAGGGCCTGGAGGGACTGCCCCCGCAACTGCTGTACGCCACCCCCCCCAACCCACTCCCCCCTCCAGGCCCTCCATGGAGAGCCTGGAGGGATTGCCCCCCGCAACCGCTGTACGGCACCCCCCCAACCCACTCCCCCTCCAGGGCCTCCATCAAGGCCTGGAAGGCCAGGCTTGGAGCGCCGAAGGCCTGGAAGGCCAGGCTTGGAGCGCCGACCCCCCCACGTCAACGCCGCTACGCCGGAGGGTCTGCTGTGCATGGCGCTCTACGCTGGGGGGGTCGCCCCTCCAGGCCCTCCATGGAGAGCCTGGAGGGCCGACCCCCCCCATTGGGGGGGGTCGCCCCTCCAAGCGGCATCGATATTTTCGTTTCAAGATACAAGCCCTTTTTCCACCTAAAACCCTTCCGCAAAGCCCCGTAACACCCTAAACCCTACATGCCCTAACCCTAAACCATAAAACCCTACACCCTAAACCCTAACCCCTTGAACCCTTATAGCCCCAAAGGCCCCAAGCCGAATTTAACGGGAATTCCTCAGCAAGCCCAAGCTTTCATGAGTGAAACATACGATTTTGTTACACGTGAGCATCAGCCAAACCTGACACTCAAGTATCATGAAGGGAAATATGATGCATGTTTTAGAGGTTATAGGGAGTAGGGTTTAGGGTTAGAGTTTAGGGTTCAGGCCCCACAGCCGAACTCAGGTCCCTGCAAGTGAATGTTTTCGAGCCCGGCACCTTAGTGGTACCTGCTAGTGCGGGTTTAGGGTTTAGGGTTTATTTAGGGTTTAGGGTCTATAGGGTTTAGGGTTTAGGGTTTAGGGTTTAGGCGCATAGGGATTAGGGTTTAGGGTTTAGGTTTAGGGTTCGCCAGCGCAGCTGGCACCCTAGTCAATGCACCAGGTAACTCCCCCCAGGAAGCAGCCCATTCCTCAAAGATATTTTTAAAACCCGATGTGATTCTGCTGGCCCACCCCAGCCCCAGATTTTCTAAACCCGATTTAAACTTGCTGGGGTTGCTGGGTTTCCAAACTCGATATGGAGGCTTTTGTTTTCGGAACGCAGTTGAAACGGCTGATGTTAAACAGATTTGTTGATAGAACGCTTGCTTGAACCAATTCTGTTTCGGAGGCTTTTTTTCGGAACGGCTTTCCCAGGATCCAGAAGTTTAAGGGCGCAGAGCTCTGGGCTGCTTAACTGTTTGCTTTTGGAGGGCTGGCGGGGGGGATGGTTGAAGTCTAAGGGTGCAGAGATCTGGGTTGCTTAACTGTTTGCTTCTGCTTCTGGAGGGCTGCGGGGGGGGGGGGGGGGGGGGGGTTGAAGTTTAAGGGCGCCGAGGTCTGGGTTGCTTAACTGTTTGCTTCTGGAGGGCTGGGTGGGGGGGGGGGTTGAAGTTTAAGGGTGCAGAGATCTGGGTTGCTTAACGGGTTGCTTAACTGGTTGCTTCGGCTTCTGGGGTCCGGGGAAAGGGTTGAAGCTTAAGGGTGCGGAGATCTGGGTTGTTTACTGTAACTGTTTGCTTCTGGAGGGCTGGGGGTTGAAGTTTAAGGGTGCAGAGATCTGGGTTGCTTAACGGGTTGCTTA